AAGACTTGGTTTCTGTACTGGGTTCACCCAGGATTGGGGTTTTGCCAAACAGGTTTGACTAAAAGAGGAGCAATTGAGTCTGCCATACATATATTAGGAAGATAGTAAAAACCGTCTACCTGTATTTTCTTCTGTATATTTTTACACTGGGCTAATTCATCTGTAAGTTATTTTTGTAGCCATTATGAGATAGAAACCCACCTTCACTTTTTCCCATGTGCTTTGCCTATCACTGTAATGTAGTTATTTGAATAGTCTGTCCTTTTCTCACCAATCTGAAATACCACCTTTATCTGACGCTAATTTTTCATATGTATTTGAGTTACTATACTATACTTTCTTATGTACTTGAGTTCTATTTATATTTGTAATGAGCTCGTTACTTTAGCATGTCAGAACATGAAATCTCCTTCCTTCTTACCCTCTAGTTTCCATGGTTCAGACTCTGCAATCACTGAGAGATGAAAAACTGCTACAGACCATGAGTGACCTTGCTCCCAGCAACCTCCCGGCCCAGCAGGAAGTCCTCAGGACTCTGGCTCTCCTATTAACCAGAGAGGACAATGAAGTTAGCGAGGCTGTGACGCTTTACTTGGCAGCAGCCTCCAAAAATCAGCATTTCAGGGAAAAGGTAAGACACTAAACCATGGCCATTGAGCCAGAAGCTGGTTTAATTTTCTATCATTTACTACTAATATTTTAGCATTTATTCTTTTACAAAAATAATTTTTTCTGCTTATTGATAATATGTGCTCCATAAAACAATCAAAACTAAAGAAATGATGGGGTCCTACTTTGCTACCCAGGCTGGACATGCACCACCCAGGTAATGCAATCATAGCTCGATACAGCCTTGAACTCCTGCCATTTCCCTCTTTTACTCATTTCAAGGGCCTTCAAGGTTCACTATCAAACCCAGGTTTACCCCTTACCAAAACCACATATTCCAAGACTTAAATGGGTGATGATAACTTCAATTGTCCTTCCTCTCGGGCATGTTTGCATTATAACAATGCTTCAATAGGGATGAAATGCTAAAGATGACCTTGGTGTATATCCACCTCTGGGAATGGGAGCTTTGGAGGGGGTTGATGGCAAGTGGCACTTCAGGGACCTTGTTCCTTTTGTACGGGAGGCTAGTCCCTGTGTAGCTGCCCAGCTGTGGATTGAGGGTTATTTCCTCCCCTTTTGGATGCTAGGCAAAGAAAAGGGAGGGGAGGGGGGCTGCCTATGCTGATGTAATGCATGCTGGAGGAAGGGGGTCCCTCATTGTTAGGCATGGGGAGCAGAATGCTGTGGTGATGGCCCAGTAGGAAACTGAGACCTCCAACAAGACCTGAGACCATGGAAAAGGGATAAATCTAAGAAATATCATCATATAGCCCAGGCACGGTGGCTCATGCCTGTAATCCCAGCATTTTGGGAGGCTGAGGCAGGAGGATGGATTGGTCCCAGGAGTTTGAGACCAGTCTAGGCAACATGGCGAAACCCCGTTTCTACAAAAAAAAAACATTAAAAAACAATTAAGCCGGGCATGGTGGCACATATCTGTAGTATCAGCTACTTGGGAGGCTGAGGTGGGAGGATCACCTGAGCCCAGGAGGTTGAGGCTATAGTGAGCTGTGATCATGCCACTGTACTCCAGCCTGGGTGACAGAGCAAGAACCCTGTCTCAAAAAAATAAAACAAATGGCAGAGCAATACCACTTATTGATTCAACAGATACCCTTTAGTATGGTGATCTGACTTGGGTTACACTTTTAAAAATAAAAGTAAACCGGGCATGGTGGCTCACATCTGTAATCCCAGCACTTTGGGAGGCTGAGGCCAGTAGATCACCTGAGGTCAGGAGTTTGAGACCAGCCTGGACAACATGGTGAAACCTCATCCTTACTAAAAATACAAAAATCAGCCAGGCATGGTGGCACACACCTGTAATTCCACCACTTTAGGAGGCCAAGGCAGAAGAATTGCTTGAGCCCAGGAGTTTGAGACTAGCCTGGGCAACATAGTGAGATCTCATCTCTACCAAAGATTAAAAATTAAAAATCAGTCTTGGCTACTCAGGAGGCTGAGGCAGGAGAATTGCTTGAGCCCAGGAGGTCAAGGCTGCAGTGAGCTATGATCGCTCCATTGCACTTCAGCCTGGGCAACAAAGTGAGGCTAAAGTTCCCACCAGTTGTTAAATGCCAATTCTCATGGAACTCTAGACCTAAATATCAAAACACGATGTAACCTATTTTTCCCCCATAGGCTACTGAAAGCATTAAAATGCTGGTGACATTGTGTCAGTCTGATACTGAAGAAATCAGAAATGTAGCCTCCGAAACTCTCTTGTCTCTGGGTGAGTTTTATTGTTGTTGTCGTTGTTGTTTACATGATTGTGTGCTTCTGGCACTCTCAGAGGGATGTTCCCTTTGAGATGTTCCCTTCTCCAGTAAGGAGAAGTTTCGTGTACTCTGTCTTAGCAGTTTCGCTGCTGTAGGCTGTCTTCTCACACAGAGTATGAAGAACTGATCAGTGTCCATCTCACCCCAGCTCCTCGTTCTGTCTGGATGCTGAGAGTGAAGTATATTCTCTGGAGCCTTTCTATATGGACTGATCAGTCTGTATACTGTTTGGAATCAAGAACACAGAAGTCAAACCATAAAGCAGAGGCAATAGGAATCCAGGCTGGGTTGCCAGGGTGGGGTTGACACTCCCTGGAGGACAGAAGTTGGGTGAGGTAGCAGAGATGTGTCCCAGGGAATGCTGTAAAGCCCCAGGTATCTCAGCCTCACCCTGACTCCCAGGTTAACCTCTGACTGCCCTGTAGCCTCTGCCCATCTGAGCCCTGATACCTAAGAAAATAATTGGAGTACTTATTTTATTCTGAAATATCCAGAGAACCCTTCCTCTTCACTTTATTTTATGAAGGTTCATGCCTAGCAGGCATTATACATTTATTCTTTTTTGGGGACTTGGGAGGATAGGGAAAGCCTTTCTTAATTCTGAATTTAAAAGTATAAATAGCTGGGCTTGGTGGCTCACCCCGGTAATCCCAGCACTTTGAGAGGCCAAGGTGAGTGGATCACTTGAGGTCAAGAGTTCGAGACCAGCCTG